TATTAAGTATATTTATTTATTTAATAATATATAAAATTATATAAAAAAATTATACAAAAAATTATCATCATATCGCTATTTTTTTTATATTAAAACATTTAACCTTAAGAAGCGGGAATTTTCCCTCTCATTTTTTAGGTCAATAGTTTGCTTACGTGGTGCCACACAGCAATTTACATGGCGCCACGCAATTTGAAACATAAACGTCCGTCAATGTGGTTAACAGTGGCTAACGGATGGGTAACGGTGTTGTGTTGGGTAGATGAAAATGAAATGGTTTTGAAAGTTAATAGATGAGCTTGAAAGAAAATAAAGTATCTAGATGAAAATGAGAAAAGGGTAATAGTTAATAGACGATTTATTAAATTAAGCCTATATATTTGTATAGCATATTCCACCATCTCTAACCTCAATTAATTACCTTGCTTTAAAATCTCCGCCATACAAGGATGAGGAAGCAGTTCTATAAAGCTTGCGTGCCCTCTAGTTGATGGATAGGCGGGGCTGTTTTGTCTTCAAATGTTTAGTTTTGGGCACCTGACGCTTTTTGTTTTTGTCTGTGGTATGTAAGCTTTGTCAATTTCTGGTTATTAGGAGATTGGCTCTCCTCTGTTGTGGATTCCAACTTTTGTATATGGGCAGGAGCACCTTGTGCTTCATTAAATTAAAATTTCTTTAGCTGATCAAAAAAAAAAATCTCCGCCATACAATATGATCATCACTAATCTAATCTTGAATATCTTACCGATTGAGGTATTTTTTATTTCCTTACAGGTTTCGGATATCTCTGACATGAGTTTGAGATACAGGGTCAAACGTATGATGTGATAATGTATCGTAGTAAAATTTTGCTCTCTTGACGGCTTTATAATAATTTGCTATGTAATTACAAGCCAACCCTTAACTAATTAATTATCATAGTGTTATAAAATTGATGATGCAATTTGAATGTGAATTTTTCTCATTAAATGTCGCTACCATTTACCAAGAGCCAGAGCATACAAATGGAGGGGAAATTTAAATGCCAGAGAAAAAAATGTAGATTACCTAATTATTATACTACTACATATGTTAATTTTCCCTTAATTTCTGGCGGCCTCCCAAGGGCCAAGA